GCTCCCCGGGGACAAGGGACATGCCGGGGACTGCAGAGTGCCAGATTGCTAATCCAGACCAGGCTCCCCAGGCAGCGAGCAAGCAGCCTGAGCTGGAGCTGAGCCCTCTGAGCCAGACTGGCTCCCCACACGTTACGCAGCAGCATCTGGGCTGACCAGCAAACCCTTCACCTCGTGAGGATCCCTTCTGAGCTATTTAGGCTTCAAAATTCATAATTTCGTCACTTCACTTGGAGACAATTCAGAAGTGCTACTGTTATCACAGCACACAGGGAAACTAAGGCGGGGGGGGGGTTGCTGAAGGGCAGCAGATCAGCTCCCCACCAGCGAATCACGCTCTTTCCTTTCACATCTTTCCAACTACAGGCTATAAAGACCACAAACACCTTGCTACAAGGTGCCAGTTTACTCCTGTTTGAGAAAACTCATTTTATCCTAAATGCACTGAATTCACAGTTCTCCACAAGTTGATTCCTAAAGGAGAGGAAACTTCTCACAGTTTGAAGCTCTTAAGCAAACACTCATCCCGGAAAACAATCCTCCCTGCAGATCTGAAGGCTGGGCACAGAGTACCCTGACCGGTCTCGAGTTTAAAACCCCAGATTTATTCTAGGACAGCATCGTCAAATCTCCAAGCAACTTCGGGCCCCACAGTGCCAGGCGCTGGGCAAACCTCCCAGGCCGGACTCTGTCAACGCAGCTGACATCAATGAAAACAGAAGCGCGTGTGCAGCCCCCGGCTGCTGAACGCACAGAGAAAGCTAAAGAGGCGAGTGCTCCACTAAAACAGCGTGACCTGCACCTCTCCAGAGTTAACTTCTTCCAGGGAAACACTAAATGTTTTTATTAACAAACCACAGCCAAGTTAATTGCTTCACTTTCCAGGGGCAGTTTTCCCATTGATACCAGTCACCTGACACCATCCCAGCACCTCTCTCTTCAGCTTTGCAGGCTGAATGCCGAGAGCCATCATGCTCTCGGGAAGCTACTGGTGGAAGTCAAGGAGCATCAACAAACGGGATGAGTCTTAGAGTGGGATTTTCAGTGTGGGTCTAACTCAGTTCATGTCACTATTATGAAAGCTCTACTGTTGATTTGAACAGGAGCAGAATTAGATCCACAGTAAGCACTGCCTTTACTTCTAGAAGCAGCTTCTGCCAAGCAGCAGAAATAACCTGAGAGGCTCCATCCAGTTCTACAACCCTGCACCCCAGGGCTGGCAGGGACCCCGACAGCGAGCCGCAGATTCCCCAGGCCCTGCCTCGGACAGCGCTGTTCACAGGCCAGAGCTCCCCTCCCACCCTCCCTGCAGCTCCCCATCTTGTGGATGCAAAGTACTTTTGGGAGGGGTACCTCCACCCGCTGACCCACTCCGACCCTCTGCACCCGGGCAGTTCCACAGCACAAGCAGATCTGTTTGCAGGGCTAGGAAACCAGACTACTTAGGCCACCGGCAAGCTTCCCCACAGGCAGGGTCTTACCAGTTAGCCCTATCTTCTTCCGGCAAGTGAAGCAGCGATTCTTCTTCTGTTTCGGTTTTTCTGAAGCTGTCTTGCCCTCAGTTGTGTTCTGGGATATTTCAAGCAGGGTACCTGAAAGAGAGGCAAGAGTTTTGCTACCCTTCTTGATAAACCAAGCAACACTTTCGTTTTATTAGAGGAGCTGCTTAAGGCCCTAACGATTCTGGGTCTGTGCCAGACACCTCTGCGTGCACATTGACCTCACCGACACACCCCAAACTGTGAGATTTGCCTCGTTCCACAGAGATCTACACTCAAACAGCCTCAAGTTTTCTCTCTGTTTCAAATTCTTCAAGTCCAAGGCTCAGAAACACCGAGGAGATATTTAGCTAAGGCACAGGTAAGGTAACGTGATGCCATTTAGCTCCCACTCAGAAAAGGTCACACTAAGTAGAATTACCTGGTGCTTGCCATAGGTTAAGCGTGCATCTGGATAGTCACTACGGCTTAGCTGATGTACAGTAACTCAACTGTACAGCTGAGCCTAGAGTTAATCTTTGCAGGAAAAAAAAAAAATGTTAACCCCTTTTAAGTACTACTAATTATTTTTGCTGACTCTTATGTAAGTGTTCCTCATATGTAGGTCTCAGAATGCTTTACACAGATACTCATCACTGTCTCTAATCTACCAAAAGGAAAACTGAGCTCTGAAAGCCAGATTGTTAAAGGTCACTGACGCTTAGCAGGATTTCCTACAGTACCTAAGCAGGTTAGAGAAGTCAACAGGACGTAGAAACTCCAACAGCTAGCAGATACACACCTGCAATGCAGGCCACTGAAAATCAGACTAAGGAGACAAACAGTCAGAGAGAGCTTTGCAGATCCGACCCTAAACAACTTTCTAAAAATCGCACAGTCAGGAGAAAAGGGCAGGCTCTTCCAAGCCTCTCTTTCACCAAACAGTCCCTCACCTGCCTGTTGCAAATTGTCTCCTGGGCGTGCAGGCAAGGGATTACCAAATCCAAAATGCACAGTCACGAGCGGTGCCTACAGCCTGTTTTTTTAACAACCAATGGCTCTTGGGGTTTTTTGAGCTTTGAATTCAAGCAAATCGTCAGCTGAACTAAAGGCGAGTGTCTCAAACGCAGTGTCACTTGGTTACAGCTCCACTGCAACACAGCGGCTCACCCTGTAGCTCATCGGCTGGAGGATGTACCCCGCTGGGCAACGAGAGCCCTGCTCCTTTAGCACTTTGCAAACAAAAGCCACCGCGCTAACGCTCCCCTCCGAGGGGCAGCTGTGTCCCCCCACCACACCAGAGGACAACAACCAGGCCAGCAGCTGCCCCCGGGGCATCATCACAAACACGTCTTCCTCTCTCCCAAGACTACACTGGTTCCGTCTTTCCTCCCTCGAGAGACGGCAGGAGCTGCAGGCAGCAACAGCCGTGCAGCAGGCTGTGGGCCGCTCCGGGCTCTCTGCCATTCACTAGGATAGGCGTCATGGAAGATTATCCTCCTGCCAGCGAGCCGAGGGCTGGCAGCTACTCAGCCCTCAACCCACAAAGCAATCTCTATCGGCCTGCCCTCAGGCACAGCGTTTTCTCTCATCCCTGTTTTAGAAACAGACAAACTGTTTTCTCCTTTTGCTAGGTGTACCTTTACTGCCAGGGGGTAACAACTGTCCCCTGGAGTTAGTGGCCAGTATTGTACTTGCTGCTCAAACCAACTGGCGACACGGGTGTCATTCAGACTTCTGCAAAGGCCAAACCAATCAGTCTACCTGATGAGGAAGATGCTGTTGCAGCTTCTTCTGTCTTGACGAATTCTTCTGTCTCACTGCTGTTTTCTTCTCGGGATATGCTCATGGCCGTCATCTGATGGGTCACAGGAGTCTGAGCACTGGGGGCATTTGCAACAAACAAATAAATCATAGAGCGGACACAAGTATTCTCTTTTGCTGAACAGTTATGTGGGAGAGATCTTCAACCCATAAATTTCATTTCATTATACTCAGAGGTAGCTCAGGAGTACAGCAGGCCAATTCCCCTTCACATTTGGGATCAAAGTTCCTTATAGACACAAATGGAATAAATCGGTAATGATCTCAGTTTCCTTTTCCACCCAATTATAACTCAAAGCCAAGGCAAGAGCCTATCCAAACAAGTCCAGGGACAGGAAATCGGAGTTATGAATCAGGCCTGCAATGCAATGGTAGAGCTCAATGCAGTACTACCTTCCTTCCTATCAAACATGACCGAGGTCCCTAATCCTGCTGTCACAGCTTCCAGACTGGATCATCTCCAGGTGCTTTCACTTAGGACCGAGTTGAAACCAAACAGTTTAACACAGCAAGCTCTGGCTCCAAGAGAACCAGGATGCCACTCAATTTACTACAGGTTTTAATTTACTTCCGACCCTCCGGTACCTGACTCTATGCATCAGTCATCATCATCAGGGACATTTCAATCTTCCAAACCAGGGTCACAATGAACCATGCTTGATCCAGCCCACTTTACAGATCCCCTTGGCCAGACAAAGGATGAGTCTCTGGTCCCCTCTGGGAGCCCTGTGTCACAGAGCTGGTTTTTAGTATGGCGGCAGATCCTCTCCCCCAGACTATGCCCCTACCTGGCTTTCGCATCCTCAGGTGTGGAGTCTCCCTCTGCATGCTGCCCCGCAATTGAATCTGAAGCCATGGGGCTGCTGTTGGGCCCACTGGGTGCTACGAAAGAAGATCACAGTCTCTTAAAAAAGGTCAACAAGTTCCTCGAGTGCTTGACAGCCAAGGAGAACACAGGATGAACACTTTTAGCAGGCGTTAACCTCCTGCTCCCTACCAGGAGCTGGGAGGGCACACCCCTGCTGGGATCACTCCCAGTTCCTCTATTCTTGTACTCTCCCCTCTGAATTTGTGCACAGGTCTCTGTGGGGATAACACACCAGGGCTGGATGGATCTCCCCATGACCCAGTACAGCTATTCTTCCATTAGGTCAGGAACGAGTCCTTGTATCAGGATCATAACATCCCTCTGAAATCAGCTGCTCGTCTTCCTGAGAACTGCGGGCCTTGTTTATGGATCCGTTCAGCTCCTCAGGATCCGCGAGCTCCATTTTGAGGGATGAGGGTTTATTCACAGGAGTTACATGCTAAATGCCTTCCGCTACTGCATGGGTTTTTTTAACATCTGGTAAAACCTGACTTCAGACACCCATGACACCTCCATCATTCTTTGATTCTCCTTCTCTTCCTCAGCATTGCAAAGCAAACTCTGCATCAGCATAAATATCCTCAGTATAAATAAAAGTGCTGCAGTTACCAAAAAACCTTGAACCCAGCGTTACTCTGCAACTTCTCCAAGGTACAAGAACAAGACCCCCATCTGCTGAAAGGAACTGGCTTCAATAGAAAAACGTTGTTTTATGTCAGCCAAGGATCTAAGTCAGGGTCTTTAGGAAAAACCCTTTGTCAGGAAGAGCTGTGTTCCTAATATAGATTTTGGGTGGGTAATTCAAGGAAAGCCATTATTAGACTCAGGAACAAAACTGCGGAAGATCTCTAGAAGGCGTTTCTCACTGATTTTGCAAAGTCTGTAGACAGGGCATCTGCACAAACTCTCAGCAAAAGAAAATCTTACTAATGATGGGAAGAGCACCCTTTCTGTGTACCTAGCTGCCTCCCAGCTCAGGGATATGTCAGCTATGTTTGGCTGCAAGAAACAAACCTTTTATGTCATTGCTTTGGATTGTCAATGCTGTTAAGAAAACTATACAAACCCAAAAGGCCAAATTCTTCCCAGGTAAAATTTCATTTCAGGGATTTGTCGTGGTTCCCAGCAGTTAGCATGTAACTCGGGGAGCAAGTAACAGCTAAAAATCTGGGCCACTGTTAGCGCAAATGAAGTTGTACAGCTCACTGGAAGGTGCTGACTGGGATGGGACTTCACAAACATCTGGGACTGGGAGGAAAATAAGTGACCCCCTTACAGGGAACAGAAGCGTGCAAAGGCTCGGGTCTTTGGTTTAGAGGCTTGGGTCTACGTGAAAAGGGAAAGACATGAGTTCTCTAGGAGGGAGTAAATATGCTGGTGGCCTGTCCAGTACCATGCTCTATCCCATCTGCTTAACACAGTTTGCATTGAGGCGCCCATTTAAAGACAGATTTCTCAGACAAAAATCCTCTACCTGGGGGGCTTATCCGGTCACTGCTCTGCTGTCTCTGCAGAAACTCCTTATAGCAAACAGAGCACATCCCGTTGGTCCGGGGGCTGCCATAAAATCCACAGCCTGTGGTACACAACAGAGGCACCTGGGTTTGGTTTGTTTCCTGAGCCATCCTCTCTCCTGCAAGGCGACAAGCTACAAACAGGAATAAAAATGAGACAGCTGTTAGGGCCGGAGAGCTCGTTCATTGTACGCTGCAGCTGATCGGGAAGGAGCACAAAGGATCCCGAGAGAGTCCGGTTCCTGCACGTGCATGACAACGCAACCCGAGTCCCTTGAGCACGGCATACTCAGGGCTCGTAAGCAGTCAAGGATCCAGGTCCTGCGGCCTTGAGCCACCCGGAGCTCAGCGGCCAAGAGGCTGCCCAGAACCAGGCTGAAAAGCTGACAGGAACCAGCTCCCGGACCTCCCTCCTCACACCACGAGGCTCCCTAAACTCCTGGTGAAAGACAAGCATGTAAGATCCGAACGATCCGCTCTCCAAGGGTAACAAGAAGTGCCATTGTAGCACAACTAATGACTCCTGCAAACACGGAAACAAAGAATGCCACTCAAACGGCCAGCAGCCAGCCTAAAGTTTTTCGCACTTAGCAGCATTTATTTTCATTTCAAGCCTGTTTTACTTTTTTAGTTTTCAGGAAGATGATGTAAGTGATGCAAAAAAAAACCCCTACCGACTCTCAGTTTTGACATACTCATATTATTTCCCGACATATGCTGGTGTATAAAGGGGAACGTTACCATAGTTAGGTTGGAAATCTGGATAAGGTTTCTTATCCTGTGATTCTGGAACACCTTCCCAGGGGAAAGAGCAGACACAGTGAAACCTACTTTTAAAATGAATCTTAATCATTTCTCTCTGCATCGCACGCCCAGAAACCGGCCCCTTCCAGCCCCCCGTGCTACAGCATCCACCCAGCCAAACTGCACTGCACCCCTTTCAACCAGAAGCGTAAGCATTAACTCCCAACAGCAAACAGCAATTTCGTGTGCGAACAACGTGGCTGCAGGCGGTCCAGCTTTGGTGGAGGACAAGGGGGGAGAGGTCGTTTGTGGGACCACGCGGTGCAGGTGGCTCCAGCTCGGGCACAAAGACACGAAGCTCCTACTGGGAGTCCCCAACAGCAATTCCCTTCTCCCAGCAGGGCAGATGCACAAAGTATCCCCCACTTCACAGCTAACTCGGCCGCTTTCTTTCACACTCCTACAAAACTTGCTTCGCTCAGGGAATAAAACAATGGGAACATGGAATAATTACCCTCCCAGGAGCACTCCCGTGGGATGGACGTGGATCGGCTCCGGTTTATTCTTCCTTGTCCTCAGCTGGGCGATATGAATCTCTCGTTCTGCGCTCGGGGGTCCCCTTGCAGAGCTCAGACCAGTGTTCCCATTACCAGGCCAGGAGTCCTGCCCAGCCCAGACCGACCTCTCTCTGGGAGTGGACCCGGCAGGCTGAATCCCCGCGGAGGGAACCGGGTGGGTAACCGCTGCCACACGCTGACCAATTTCCAGGACCTGCTTCTGATTTTGAGTGTCCCTGCGGAGAGAAGGCGACGACTGCTGCAACTCTGGGCGAGTTCAGCTCTCCCTCGGCCAGCAGCCCAGGGGTGACCCGCAGCGGGAGCCCAGCAGCACACGGCTGTACCGCAACACCGGGGGCAACGACCCGCGGGGGAAACCGAACCGCTGCTCTGTCCCCGCAGCCCGAGGCCGGGCAGGCCGGGTAACCCACCCCCTCGGCCCGGGAAAGCCGCAGGCCGCCCGCCCGCCCCGTCACCCTCGCCCCCAATCCGATGTGTCCGTGCCCCGTGCCCAGGCTTCCCCACCGCTCTCACGAATCGGCGATCGTCGGGTGCCCGGGGCAGACAGTGCCGGTCACGCAGCCGTGCTGGGACTTGGCAAACAGGAGTAAAACCCCTACTGCCAAGCCCTGATCAGGTCTCTCCCCACCGTCTCCCCGGCCTGGGGAGGCTACAAAAAACTTTGTGCGTTAGCCCTAAGCCCCGGGCAGGCTGTCAGTGCGAGGTCTCTGCTTGTCTTTGGGTTGTGGCAGAGGCACAGGCTCTGCTCTCGGGACGCCTTTCGGGGCCAGCGCAGAGGCATTTTCTCGCAGTTTGATTTATTCGCACTGGCCGGCATGGGAAAAATATTCGCTGCCCGAGCATCCCCAGCCGCCCCAGTGCCGGTTGCCGTGGGGCCAACACCGGCGAGACCCGCTCGCCACGGACCGTGGCCACCAGGTGGCACCAGGCTCCCACGGAACGGTGGGCACCCGCGTACCCCCCGCACCCACGCGGCCCCTCACCCTGGTACCCTGCACCCTCCCGGGCATCCCTCGCCAGCCCCACGCTCCTGCCAGCCCCGCAGAGCAGAGTGGGTCCCTCTCCAGGACTGGAGCCCCCCTGGGCTAATGAGTGTCACTTGGCTAGTGAGGGTGGCTTGGCTAATGCGGACCAGAGGCCCTGGGGCCACCAGCACCACTTGGGGTGCCCCCGGGGGCTATCCCTGCACCCTCCTGCTCGCCAGGCCATTTGCCTTTGGCCCAGCAGGATGGGAGGGGGGGTCAGGGTGGCTTTTGGGGGGGCAGAGCCCCCAGCAGCCCTGGCTGGGCAGGTGAAGCGCAGGGGCTGCTCTGTGAGGGCGGTTGCGAGGAGCCCAGGAGCTCCCTGGCTTTGGAGGTCCCAAGATCCCGCCTGTGGCCGCGGCAGCGCGGCAGGAGCAGGGGACACCTCGCTGGGAGACGGGGCTGTGGGGCAAAGGCGGCGGTGGGGCACGGAGGGCAGGGCAGGCCGAGCAGCGGGGCTATTAATACACGTTTTCCCGTGATGCTGCAGCACAATTTTCAGAGCCAAAGCCGGAGGGAGCTCCGGGTTGATTCAGCCTGGGTTTGTCCCTACTCTGTTCCACTCTCCCCTCGTGCCCAGAACCGCTGCGGGCACCCACCGCTGTCACTCCCAGAGCACCAGGACACGCTCCCGGAGCATCATCTCCATCTGCCCTTGAGCCGTGGCAGCGGAGCGCCCACCGCCTGCCTGCATCAGCCCTCTCCCAAGCATCTTCTCTGCCTCAGTTATCTAACGACTAGGGCAGAACATTAAATGTCACTCCACTAAAGCGAGCAAGGCATCCGGGGAGGGGAGAGCCGGGTGAGACAGGATGAGAGAAACAGCAGCAAAACAGGATCGATTTCTAGCCAATTATCACTGTTATCAAAGCAGCGCAATTAAAGGATGAGGACACATTTCCAATACCCTGCCTGCCCCTCCAAGGCAAGACACTGGTTCATCAGCTCTGCCGAACACGCGTGTCTGCACGCACGCAAGTGCTTAATGTCTGCACACGCGTGCCCGTGTGCGCTTGCAGCACATACATGTGCGTGCAAACACACACACACACGCACAGCTGCGCAGGCGTCCTCAGCTCGCCAGTGTCTGCTGAGCTTGTTTTCCCCGCGGAGTTAATCTCTCCAACCTGCTTCACTGTCTCGTTTTTCTGTGCAGCCAAGATGTGTCTCCATCTGGCTCTCGCTGAGCCCAGGGGAGGGTGGAGGGCCCTGGGGATGGCTGGCAAAGCGCTGCCCGGGGCTCTCACCCCAAGAGGAGCTGGAGCCGCAGGAACTTGGCCCGTTTCTCATCCTCGGGGTTCTCCGTAAAGTGTTTTCTCCCCATATGCCCAGCCCTCCTTCTCCCTCCTCCTCCTCCCTGCTGCCCCAACATGCAAGAGCTGGCTCCAACCCTGCTGCACCCCAGGGCTCTCCTAAACTGCCAGCTGGATTCTTGCCCTGTGGGTATTTGGTTTCTTACACTCTTGCAGGATGAGCGTCGGGGTCACACAGCTCTGAATTACACTATTTACATCCCATCGCTGGCGGGCAGCATTTGGGAGCACCAAAGGTGCCAGCAGGGACCAGACACCCAGCACACAATGTGCGCTGTGGTCCAGTGCGGTAACGTGGATTACGAACGGGCAATACCTGCAGCGTGGGGCTTGAGACGTGGCAGGAGCTTCACGTGTGGTTTCCAGTATCGGAGAGGGTCCGACGCCTCCATGCCCAGAGGCAAACCCAAACCCAATCTCTGGATGAGCAGACCCTAAATCAGCCCCATCCCAGCCTTGTCCCCGGGGCTGTGCTGGAGCAGGAGAGCAGCATCTCCGGCAGCTGCCCCAGGAGATGCTCCCAGAGCTGTGGGTGAGGAAGGAGAGGTCGGGGCTCAGGTAGGATTGCCTGAGGGGGAATTCAAAGAGCGAACCACAGAAGCTGACAATGGCAGGAGCCCTGTGCTCTCCTCCCAGCCAGCCACTCTCCTCCCACAGCTCGGGAGCCCTGTGCTGGCTCTCACCGCTGAGCATCGCCCCTTCTCCAGGGCAGGAGCAGGACCTGAACCCCAACACCCTGCCCTGCCCATGGCCATCACCACCTCCCTGTCCCTCAGCGCCCACCCACAGCGCCCGGCCCCTGCTCTGGTCCAGCCTTGCACAGCTAACACATTAACCTAGTGCTGTACCAGCCCCAGGCTGCAGTGCCCCGCGCTCCCTGCCTGCGTGACACACATCTGGGGAAGAAGAGAGGTGTAGGGGGGGCATAAAATCCTTTCAGTAGGCTCAGTGGGTTAGAAACCCCCTTGCAATTACCACCTTCTCCTTGTCCGGTGCACACAAAGGACTCTCCGGGGCGCTGGGCTTGTTCCTGACAAACCCAATGCAGCCACAGAAGCCAGGAGAAAAGAATGGACGTGGGAGCCCTTTCAGACGCTGCTATTTGGTTGCAAACTGCTTAATTTCCTGAACAAAATGATATTTTTGTTGTTGTTGTTTTGATGGAAGGACGGCACCTTTTTGGCATGGTACAATCCCAGGGCTATTCATCCGTCGCCACAGCAACAAGCTCCATCAATGGCCATCCGAGATTGCAGATGATTAGAGACAACATGTAAAAGGTGGAAGATGCTGGGCACCTCACAAACCTCATCTTCCCAAATGACTTGAATTATCCTCATTATTTCTCCCTGGTCTGCAGGAGACGTCACTGTTATATAAACACGGGAAGAGCCGAGTTATGAGAGCAGGCAGAGGAGAAGGGAACGGTCCCTTCTGGTGGGGACTGACCTGGAAAGCTCATGACATGGAGGATGGAACCCTCTGAGATGCTCAAGGAGCTACAAACGTCTTCCCGTGCCTAGGCCAGCATCATTCAGGGCTGTGGAGGTGTGAGGCCACGCTGCCACTGAGAGAGCACGGGGGAGCTTTGGGGTGGGGTGGCCACAACCTCTGCTCGTCCCCAGTCCTGCAGGACCCTGCACCCTCCTGCGGCTCTGCCCTGAGCTGTGCTGCTCCATCCCGGGGGCATGGTTGGGAGCTTTCCATCAGTTTGCTCTTGGAGAGCTTCAGGGACCCAGCCCATCACCACCACCTGTTTTGGGGGTAAACCAGAGGGAAACAGGTCGCTGGAGCCTGGTGAAGGTGTGACACAACCCGACAGAGGGGCTTCCTGCGGTTAATGGTGTCCGTGGGGCAGCGCTGAAGCATGGCAGGCTTGAAACTTTAATGCCAGCCTGCAATATTCATGGTGCTTTCGAGGGCAAGGCAGGAATTGCACTGAATGCCCTGAATATTTCATGGGTGGCTCCGCACCAGAATTTCGAGGAGGGTTTCCTCCACTGCCACCACATCCCCACGCTGCTGTGAAGTCTGAGCTGTGCAGCGTGGAAAAAGGGTGATGGTAGCCCAATTTGCAGCCATCGCGTCCCACAAAAATAATTCAGGTGTGTTTTGGCCCCTGCCTGGGGTGGGAGGAGTGGATGTGTCCTTCTGGGCCATCTCTCTGCTCTGGGGGAAACTGGAAGACCCAGGGTGCAGGGCTGGGGGTCTCCAGTGCAACCTCCCGAACTACCTTCAGTGGATGCCCCCACCCTGGCTCCCAAAGCACCGTGTGGGTGGCTTGGAGTGTCTCCCCCCCCTGGGCTGGGCTGTCTTGGGGTCACCACAAGAGATGGGGACAGCAGCCATCCCCAGTCCTGTCCTCCCTGGCCATTGCAGGGCTGTCCCCCATGGTGAGGTGACACAGGAGGTGACAGTTGCTGGGGTGGTGGGATCCAGGTCATCTCCCCATCTGTGCATCCCTGCCGTGAGCTGGGTGCTCGCAGCCGGCCTTACGCAGGATCCTGATCCAAATTGAGTCACCCTGGGTGGGCACGAGGTCCCCAGAGCCCGCGGCCAGCCCATGCCATGGCAGCAGTGAGGGAGGTGATGGCAAGAACATGCTGCTCTAGCACAATCCCCTCTCCTCCAGCCCCTTCTGCTGGAGCCCTTCCAGAGCAGCTCCCTGCCTCATTCCTGCAGCTCTGGGGTGCTGCTGGGGGGATGGCTGCCTCCGAAGCCCCCTTAGGTGGAGACCCAGAGGGCAGCAGAGCCCCCAGGTCCCACAGCAGGGACAGGGACGCTGCAGCCCGATGGGGCTCAAGCAGCCGCGTGGCTCAGATGATGCCCCAGAAAACTCATCTCTGCCCGGGCAGACCCCAACGTTGCGCACATCCCTGCCTTGCCCCGTGCCTGTTTCCCCCCTGTCCCCTAGGGATGAGCTGTCGCTGTCTCTCTGGGCAATTTGCAGGGAGTTGTAGCCGCCTTCCAGGGCCACGGGCAGGAGAATGGGATACGGGTGGGATCCTGACATCTACCGAGGGACGGACCCCAGCCCTGAGCAGGCTGCCAAGGGACAAGGGACAGTGCGTGGCCAAGGGACGCATTTCCCCATCGGTTTCTCCATCAAATAGAGAGGCAGGAGGAGGCAGTGCCGGGGCCTGTCCTTGGAGCAGAGGACCAAGGACTGCTGTCACCTCCCCTGAACAGCTCCAGGGGAGCAGGGACACGAGGGACAGCTCTGCCCCAGCACAGGGAGGTGCCTGTCCCTGGGACAGGGGCTGGTCCCGGGGAGTGGACCCTGCACTGTGTTTTGACCCCATGCTCCTCTGCTGCTGGAGCTGGCTGCCACCTCAGAGCTGCCACCACCGTCCCCCCCCCTCACAGCGTCACACTGGATGTGAGATGCTGACACTTCCGAGCTGGGGCATTCATGCCCCTGGGGGGGCCACGAACTGGCTGCTGGCCAGGGCTCATCCTCCTGCCATTGGTCCCCATCACGTCCCAGGTCCCTTCAGTCAGGGAGCACGCCCTGTCGGGGATGCTCACCCCAAATTGTCCCCAGTTCCAGGCTCCCCTTTGGGTCCCATCTACTTGCCAGCAGGACCAGCACCCATGGGGAGGGTGGCCAAAACCAAGAGAGGCCCTTTGCAGGGAGCTGCAGCTCAGATCAGGCTAAATTGGAGCTGATAATTAAGAGTAGAAGAGGAGATCAATAAGGGGAAGTGGCTGGCGCTGCGGCTGGGGCCAGGGACGGCTGCGCTGGGGTCCCTCCTGCCACCCGGGGGGCCATTCACACCCCCGGTGTGGTGCCCTCCAGCACCACAATTCTAGGTCTCTGCTCTCATCCTGCATCCCCAGAGGAGGAAGATGGGAGATGCACATGCTCAGGTCCCACAGGGAGCCCATCACCAGGCCGGGGGTGATGATGGGGGCAGGGGGGAGAATAACCTCCCCCATCCCTCAGACCCCAGGCCATGTGGGTGATGGAGCCAGAGCCGATGCTCCAGGGCAGGGAGCTCCAGGGTGGGAGAAGGAGTTAATTCCTACACCGAAAAGCTCTTTGTCGGCATCTCATCTCTAATGGAAGAGTCATGTCAGATTAGCGGGCGGCCATCGCGAAGCGCCGAGCGAGCGCCCTGCCTGCCGGCGCCCGGCCCCGGGGAGAGCCGGGGAAGCCATGCGGAATGGCAGATCTGGGCCACTGTGCCAGCGCTGGCGGGGGACGCTCTGCGGTGGGGACCGTGGCCAAGGACGGGCACGAGGAGTCCGCCGCAGCAAGCTTTCGCACGAGATTTTGTCCCTATCGTGGCGTCTTCTCGGCACCCAGCCACGATGCAGCCACAGTGCCCGGGGATTCTCTTTCCTCTATTCCCAACCAGCCTGTAGAAATTGGGGTTCAGAAGCAAGGCCACCCCAAACCTTCCTGCATGGCAGCTCCAACAAGCAGCGTGGCGCTCACAGCCGCGCTCTCTGCGCCTCCGCCGCTGCAATCCAATAGCCGAGGGCGAGCGATGCCTGGGCAGTGGAAAAGTGGGTCAGGCACATTGGACACCATGTGCTTCGCCTCCCCTTTCACACTCCTTATCGCAGCCCTGATGGTAAATAAACCAGTCCGTCTCCCCAGCAACCCAGCCGGCTGCCGGGCCGTGCCGGGAGCGGAGTCCAAGGTGAGCCACGATGCCAGCGGTGGGAGCCAGCCGGGACCCAGAGGATGAGCAATAACCCCCCACCCATCGGCCCCGCACGGGGAGCGGGGTCTGCCTGGCAGCCAGGAAGCACCATCCTGGGCACCGGCACAGTGGGTGGGCTGGGAGATGTGGGGAAGACCCATTTCTTCCTGTGATGGTGCCTCTGCAAAGACCGCTGAGTTCCCTGAAGCCGCTCGCTTGTTCTGGCAGAGCCTGAGATGGGAAAAACTCTGGACAATGAGAATATTTGCCCCCCCAAAAGCACAGTGAGGTGTTTGGGGCACCTTTAGGGTGAATGTGTCTCTGAGCTGGGCTCTCTTAAGTCCCCGGCAGCAGGAGCAGGCTGAAAGCATCAGAGCATCCCTGACCCACTGACCCATAAAAACGAAGCATCCCAGAGGGGCTGCACCCTGTATCATCCGGCTGAGCATCCCCCTCCACAGATAACCCTGGCAGCTCCCCCCAGGCAGGGCTGGGTCACTGTGCCCCCCCCCTCCAGCTGCTTAAATCAAGCAGAGCCCTTTGTTTTATGCTTTCATATTATTTAATTCTCCTCTCCTCACTTGCACTGCAGGGGCAGCAGCTAAGCCTGGGGCTTTGCTAAGCTGGGATCGTATTAACAGAACAGAGAGGAAGAGAGTTTCTGGTGCTAAGCTGCTTGTGGTAACAGAGATGGATTTAAGGAAACTACTCTCATAGCGATATTATTGCCCAAAAGCACCCAGCCCGGGGAAAGGCAGATGGAGACGCAGGGAAAGGCCCCGGGCTGGTCCCCATCGGGGTGCACCGGCACCGCAGGGCTGGGGGGTCTGGCTTGAGACCACCCAGCAGAGCCCCACTGGGCCACAGCCAGGGCTGGGACCCGCAGCCGGGGCTAGGACTAGCCCGTTTGGTGCCAGGCAGGCAGTGTGGGCAGTGGTGGGTGGCTCACCCAGGCTTTGTCTGTATTAAAAGCTAAGTCCTCCGGCACGGCTTTTTCCAGAGCGGCAGCCAAAAAGGTGCTTACAGGGCCGGAGCAGGAGCCTGCCAAGCCCTAATTAGAGACGCTCAGCGGTGCAGCGTGCTAATACGCAACCTTTTGCCTCTGGAGGCCGGGATTTAAACCGCAGCGAAATCATCTCCGGGATGCAAGTGCTGGGGTTGGGTTGTTTCGGGGGAGAGGGGAAAAAACCTCCCTTCCCTCCTCAAACGGCAGCAGACCAGCAGCTCCTGAGACTCCCTGACCCACTGGTGTCCCAAGAACATCTCCTTGGCGGGACACAGGGTGGCCTGAGCCCAGGCAGGGGGAGAAGCCAGAGCAGGTCCCCGGGTGCTTCCCTCTCCCCTGCTCTTTCTTTCGCCCTCTCTCTGCATTAACATGTTAACTTTGGCCAAGAGATTTTCCCACTGACCTACTGATCTTTCCTATTTCGGTCCCTGGAATTAAGGGATTGCTGGGATTAACTTGCGCTAAAGCCTCCAGATCGGCTCTGGAGCGGGACACCCAGGTACGGGCACAGCGGGCAGCCGGGGCTAG